GTTGATATGAAATATAGCCATGATTCTTAGTTACATGGGAGGAAATGAGTAATAAATACATTGTAGCAAGTTTAAACCACAAGGGTGTTTCACTGGTAACAACATTTGAAAACTGTACACTTGCAAAGAACGGCATCTTCAAACATTAGTATATCTGTATATCAGTAAAGCTCTTACATGTAACAAACATGCTATTTCCATATATGACAATTTTTTTAAAAAATATGCATTGCTTGGCAACATGAACTAGGCAAAAATATTTCTTTGTTCACTAACTTTATACAGGAAAACAGGACAAAAGGCATGCATGTACAATCGGGATGCCTGCATGGGGCATGCAACGAAGAAAGGGTTCGGAAAGTCAGCTTCCATTAGACATAATTACATGAGGGTTATATATTAATAAGGGAGGAAGTCTTCTGTTGGACATTATTAACATTCCTGTTTTCTTCTTATTCCTCCCAGAGGAATATACATTCACCTTTAAGTAAAGATAAAGGAATTACAAAATAATAATAATAAAACTCACTTTGCAAACAATTCTGGTGATTTGTAAAAAAAAAGAAAAGAAACCAACAATACAACCCAACATTAGTGTTATCACAGCCCCTGTGAGCCCTCCTTATCACAGGCATGCCCGGGCACCGTGGCCAGACTGCAGGCGACTGGGGCCTGCCTTGCCCTGTGCGTTCAGCCTGGCCCAGTGCCCCCAGCCACCATCTGGGCTCTGGGTGCCATCCTGACTTTGGCTGCAGGCTGTAGCCCCACAGGCCTTGCTCAGGCAGGAGTTACAAGAGGCACAGAGGAACAAGGACTTGGCTGCCTTCTGGGGGAAGGGGGAGCTCCTCCAATGACACCTCAAAAGAAAACCGAGTTTCCCTCAGTGTCTCTTCCAATGAACGAGAAAGGGGGGCCAGCTGTAGCTCGAATCCTGGGTGCCCCAAAGGGGCCATCCAGATGCAGGAATTCAGAGCTTGGTGCAAACGGCCACCCTTGGCAGGAGTCAGAGCGACGTCTAGTTTGCTTACTGGCCCTCATTTAGAAAAGCAAAACACAAAAGTAGGTGGAGTAGAAAGAAAAAAGGTAACGGGTCAGCAGCAATGTTTCCTTTCTTGTACACAGTTCCTGCGTTTCTTCCTACTGCTTCTGGGAAGAAGCCACTATGGACAAAAGCACCAGTCAAACATCGCACTTGGCATCAAGGTCGCAGACCGCCCCCATCTCTTGGGAAGGCGTGGAGGTGCCAAGTGCACACGGCTGAACTCAGAACAGGGGGAAAACGACAAAACCCGAACGCAAAATAAGTACAACCCCAAAGCCATGGAGTGAAACAGCTTTCACTCCGGGATTTTCCCATTGTTACTAGTTACTGAATATAAAACAGGTTCACTTGCGGGTAGATGTGTAAATACAAAAAAAGGCACTGCCGCTTTTGTTACTGGATACCCGACCTCACAGCCACTACACTACGCATGCAACAGTTTGACTTTCTCGTAAACAGACTTCTTTTGCGTTTGGATTTTTTTTTTTTAATTGAGCTATCTACCTGCAGCCAACACGGGACTCAAGACAGGGTGGAGGCAGGCTCCTACAATGATCGGAACACTCAACTTAGGAAGAAAAAAATCGAAACACTAATAGCAAAATCACCACTATGTAGATAAATCTATACACGGTCGATAAAAAATAAGCTTTTTTTTCTTTTTTCTCTTTTAAAAAAAGAATTATGTTGTCATTAATAACAGACTTTTATCATGGTTACCAGCCATAGCAAGTTAAGAAGTAACATATCCAAAATAATATCTCTAAGAATCAGATAACCATTGTTTCTATATTCAGGGAAGGAATAAATAGAAATTCATATTTGCAAATGCGTTACGTTCTTCTTCCTTTTAAAGGATTCATGCTAATGTGATTGTGTTCACATTCTGTTTCCTAAACACGACGGCTCCGCAGATGCGCTCGTACATGTGTGCAGTGCAGCTGAGCCCTGCACTCACTCACTCCTCAATGGGCCTTGCGATCCCATGCTTTTTCTCTTCTCCCACATCAACTTCCTGAGCACCCAAATCACATCCCCAGACCCTCCTGCTCTTACCTTTAGCCTTCAACATTCTTGACCTAGCCTTTCGCCTTCCATGTGAGCGTCCATCCCAGCTCAGCCTGACTACTCTAAGCTTGCTTAGAGAAGGGGTAGGGAGGAAGAATGATAATGGCACTTGGTTTTTAAAAAAATAAAGCCAACTAAAACATGCTGCCTCTTTCTGCACGTGCATTTGCTTCAGTATGCTCACCGCCCAAGGAGCGGCCGGTCCCCTCCAGCCACGCATGCTCCGTGGGCTCGCAGCCAGCTTCATGGGTGACTGAAGGCTCTCAGGTGAGGGCTCCCCCTCTTCAGGTAGCAAGGGGGTTTGAAAAGGCCTGTGACCCTGCCCGAGGCTGGGAGGGCAGGTTTTAATTCTGGATGTAAAAGAAAGCTTTTTGGCTTTCATGAAGGCCTTTTAAATCCTTTTTTTTTTTTTAATCACCTTAAGTGAGGGCAGGGCTTTTCGCAGATCCATCTCTTCACTTGTGGCTCTACCTTCACTCAGAACAAAAGAATCAACGGCATCAGACTCACTTCATTCACAGGCCACCATCACCCCCACCACCCGGTTTTCCCGTGCAGCACACCCTCCTGCTCGGTCCCACCCCGGCTCCGTCACGTCCACACACCATCAGAAAGGAGGCGATGACTTGGTGGAGCATGGTGTGCCACACCCTCACCCGGCTACTGGCCTTGGCCCCGCAAGCCTCTGGCTTATTCGTCCGGGAGAGTTCCCCTTTCCACCACAGAGCTCACCTCCACGTCCTTTGGCCGCCCACCTGAGAGGGGGGGCCTGGCTCCTGGCCTTCTCCCTGCACGTGCTCTCGGACCCCTGCCGACGGACGGTCCAGAACCTCCCGCTGGGCCCTCCCCAACACCGCTGCCCCAGCGCTGACCAGCACGGGGTGCGGGCTCCCGGAAGGGAGTGGGATTTGGGGCTGCTTCTCTGGGCGTTCGCCTCCCATCACGGGAAGACGGTGTTTCTGCCGTTGCTCCTCCAGCAGACCTGGCAGCCACCCGAGGGTCTGAGCAGCAAAGCCAGGAGGGGCAGATAGGGTGGCCCCCCTCCCCTCCCCCAGAATGGGGGAGGAGGGGACAGGCAGGGGGCTAGGTCTCCAGGTGAGAAGCAAATCCAGCACAGAAAGGGGCCACCTGAGGGCAAACCCACAACCCATCCCCCGGTGCCATCTCTTCGGGCCGCACCCTCGTCTTCACACCCACCCCGCTGCCCAAGAATCCATATTCACAACAAGCCCTTTCCAAAAGCAATGTCAGAAGAAGAGGCGCCCCCCGCCCCCAACTCTTGACCCACGATGTACCCTTGAAAATGGTTATGTAAACAATACACAAATCAGTCTGTCTGAGATTTGGTGGCGGGGCTAGCCTTTGCCTTCTCGTCCTGTGGCCACGTGGCCTCGCCGAGCTCCAGTCTGTCGGGGTGGGGGGCCCAGAGGCCACCCGCCATTGCTTGTGGTCACAGGCGTCCATGGTGTCCTCCTGGGGGCCGACTGGGGCGGGAGCCAAGGCCTGGGGCTTCTGCCTCCTTCCTATCTCTCGTACTTTTTTTCGTAGCAGTATGTTTGAAATAAAAAAAAAATAAATCCATCCAGAGCATCTCCTGACATCCTCCCCATCCCACATTTCCCAAGGAACCCCCTCCCCACGCCCCCCACACCAAACCACCCTATGACTGAAAGAAAGGACAAAAGGACCGATCCCAGGTCTACTGATATGTTTACAAGGACGACCTACGCTCTCGCAAAATCAAAATGGGAGAGGGACCGGGAACAACAACCAAAAAAACAAAAAAGGCTGCAAAGGATCCTGGGAGATTCTGAGCAACCCTGAAGATGGCTGACACTGGACCCGCAGCAGTCGATTTCACGGCCAGCGCTGTCCTTCTCATCTTCGGCGTCTAGATGGTGGAGGTCCGGTCCACCCCATCTGGGAGAGGGAGAGAGAGCAGCTCAGGACGTCGCGTCACGCCTGCCTCGCAGCCCATGCCCGACGTCCCGACGTCCTTGACGCCCTCGACGTCACCACGCCCCCACGTCCCTGATGCCCTCGACGTCACCACGCCCCCACGTCCCTGATGCCCTCGACGTCACCACGCCCCCACGTCCCTGATGCTCTCGACGCCCTGGGAGAAGGTGACGCCACCCAGCCTGTGCTCGGAGAGGGGGCCGGCCTGCGCCCATCCTGCAGACCATGGCGCCACGCTCACTGTGGATGGGCCGGCACAGCGGGGCCACGGAGGACGGGCCGCGGCGCATGGAAGGACAGAGTCACGGACAAACGCGACTTTCTAGCTGAGGCTGGTAGGAGAAAGCGTTGGCGGGTGCACAGGAGGCAGGAGTGGATGAGGGAGGGCGTGGGGGGCCAAGAGGGGCAGCTGGGGCAGGAGGGGAGGGGAGCTGAACAGTGGTGGGGGGGGCTGTCTGGCTCACTTCCCCTCTGTGGGTCATCTCGCTGGTTAAAGCCTCTGACAGCTGATCAGACCGGAGGGACGCATGTGGCCCAAATGGATTCTTTATCCTGAGGCTTTATCCAGAGAAGCCACAGTTGGATAGGCGCTGGGAGCGGAAAGATCGTGTGTCAGGGGAGAGCTGAGGGCACCCATGGATTTGCCAGCTCCACAGCCCTGCCTGGGAATTGGAGAGCCCAGGCCGAGGAGAGGGCGGACGGTGGAGGGAGCTGACACGCGCCTGCCCCTTTTTGGTTGTTCGCTTCCACGTGGGCTCCAGGGGAGTCCTCGGTATCAGAAGCAGAGACCTGAGCCCTGCTTATGGTAGCCTGGATGTAGGCGGCCATAGCAGTGGTGGCAGAGACCGATAAACAGACTTGAATTTAGAATCGTGGCTCTTGCAGGTGCGTGAGCAGGGCAGAGCTAGTGGCAGGGGTCCCTTGAGGAGGCTGTCACCAGGGCCTGTGTCTAAGCAGATGAGAACCCTCATCAGTGCGCAGAGGGTGGGGCAGGGATTAGCCATCTCAGGAGATAGCAATGGCTATGTTGCATGTTCTCAACAATTAAGCGTGATCACTACAGAGATGCACGCGTGTCTCAGCCCCTGATGTCGCATACCTGGTCTATCAGATGGAATATCTGGAGTCACTGGGCAGGGCTCAGTGTGAGAGCAGAGGCCCTAAGGGGCAGGGATGGGCCGCTGAGTCCACTGTTGGGCTGGCTGACCTCCTCGAGAAACTTTCTAATGAGACAATTGTAGGTTCCCATGCAAGATAATACAGACAATCCTGTGTAGACTTTGTCCAGGTTGCCCCAATGGGCGCATTTTGCAAAAAGGGGAACGCAACAGCACAAACCAGATACTGATGTGGATTCACTGTACCAGTCCTATTCGGATTCCCTGATTGTACTTGTAATCATGTGTGCTTTGGGAGGAGAACACATTTTTAAAGGAAAGCACATGGCTCCTAAGAGCTTCCATGGCATCAGGTCATTACTCCTCAAGGCCCCAGATTTGGACTTTACCAGTAGCCTTGCCCCTGGGCTCCTGTGAGTGTTAGCCTGTCTCTGCAGTGCTGACTCATGGAGTGGGGAGGAGTGGAGGTGTGTGTATGTATATGTGTATGTGTTTGTGAAGGAAGGAGGGCTCTTTGGTCACTTTCTCTGTAGAAAGGCAGTGGACACTCCCGCTGGGGCTCGTGGCCCACACTAATGCCAGTGGGCGGTGTGGAAAAACAAAAATCTCAACTAAGCCAGCTCATCCTCCAGGGCAACCGTGATCATCTGCAGAGAAAGAACTGCTAGCTAATTTGCACCCTTGTCTCCATAAGGGCCAGGAGCAGGCCCAGTAAACCTCAAGCAGGGAGGTGTCTGACCCCGAACACTGGAGAGTGGCCGTGTGCTCCTCCCTGTGGTGTGCTGCTCTTTGCCGCCCCCTCCAGCTCTTCTCTCCCTCTGGCAGAACCCCCATGCCTGGGCTGCCTCTGCCATCTTGATGTAAGACTTTCATCCGTCTCTGTTGGGCTTGCTCTAGGTCAGTGGGCCCCAGGGTCTAGAAGCCCCAACACCAAGCTGAGCTGCTATCTTCCTCCAGGAGAGGGCAGTAGGTTAGGCCACCCGGGGCTACAAGGCATGGTGAGTCCAGCTGCGCCAGAGGGCATCCCGCCCCACCGAGTTGTCACTGAAGTAGATCGCCAGGTCTGTCTCTGGGGTACCTCTGAGTAGACCCTTTTGTTAGGGGTCAGGGCATCTGTTGTTTGCAACACCTGAGAAGGCAACCATTCTCCAATCCCAGAACATCTCCTTGCCTCAGAATGAACCCTGGAACCTGCTAGCGGTCACTCATTCCTGCCTGCTTCCCTGCCCGGCCCCCTCTCTCTTCAGCCAGTGCCCCATTAAACAGTCATCTGCTCCCTCTCTCTGTAGGCTTTGCCCACTCGGGGCATTTCATTTAAATGCAATCATGCGATGACACGTGGCCTTTTATGTCTTGTCAGTGGCATGTTCAGGGCTCATCTGTGTTCTAGCACAGCTCATAGCTCTGTTTAAACAGCTGAATAATATTCCATTAGAATATTAGGGATGGACTACATTTTGCTTCTCCATTCATGGACATTCGGATTGTTTCCCATTACTTCTGGGGGGGCGGGGGCTCTCCACGCTGCAAACCCGGCCTCTTTGGTCAGGTGGGGAATGAACAGGAGCCAGCGGGCCCCTCCACACCACAGGAAAGGGGCAGTGCGGCTAAGCTTCTAGGCCTTAAAGGCCCGAGGGAGAGAGCAGTGAGTTGCAGAACTCTGGGCGCTCACAGCAGGATCTGTGCCTTCCGACCGTGCTACCAGGCACTGGCCAGATCTGAAATTGTGCACCCTGGGAATCCCTTTGCTCCCTCTTGGTCTAAATGGAGGCAGGGCCAGGGGGTGGGTACTGATGGTGGGAAGAGGCACCTGCAGCCCCCTTACTGCCCAGACCAGGTGGACAGCTGGCTGGCAGGCCTGTGACACTGTGAGGGACATCTCTGACTGCTAGTGGGGGATTTTTGTTTCAAAAATTCTATTTTTAGCATTAAGTTGGGATAGGCTTAGACCAGACTAGGGATCTAGTCCCAGAGGCTCCACTGTGTGTGTGTGTGTGTGTGTGTGTGTGTGTGTGTGTGTGTGAGAGAGAGAGATAGATAGATAGATAGATAGATATGGGGGTGTTCCCACTAATGGCCACATTGTTGTATGTCCCTAACTCTTCCTGAGCCTGGCGATGGGTGGAGATTGTTGCCTTAGTGTGATTCCACTGGGCTCTGGGTGGGCGGTGTTTTGGGGGAAGAGCGACAGCTCAGGTCCCTGACTCACCTCCTAGAAAGGGGAGCAGAGCAACTGCCTAGTCTGCAGCGGGAGCAGCCTGCTGACGGGGTGGAGGCTGTGATACGCTTCTTGTCCCTGCCCACTCCTCCTCACTGTCCTCCTCCCCTCCCAGTTACTGCCAGAGGCTAGCCAGCAGATGGCCAGCCAGGAGGCCTGCAGGAAGGACACACTCACCTCCCAGGGCGTGTTCGGTCATACTGAGGCACAAGGACTCCAGCCTGTTGTTGATGTCAGGTTCAGTCACAGGAAGCTGGAATTCTGCTGGGGACAGAGGGGTATGTTGGTGACAAGGACTCCACGGACAAGTAGAACATACACTCAGTGCCACCTGGCTCCTAATGGGGCAGCCTTGGGGATGAAGGTCTGCTGTGCCTCCCTGGCAGGGACCCAGGGGGACTGTCACAGTCACACGGAGGGCAAGTGATGCCCAGGATGAACCCACTTCTAAGGTCTGCTGGAGAGAGGCCACTGTGAACATGGCGGCTGGCAGGAAACAGGGGACTATAAATAGTTGGCCATATTCAGTTTGTTGCTTCTCTGCCCATAACCTTCCTGTGACTTCCCACCAGAGTAAAAGTCCAGCCCCTGCAGTGGCCACCGAGGCCCATGACCCGGGCCCCAGTGCCCCTCTATCCTCTACAACTCTCCCTTTCCTTCACTCCCTACAGGCCGTGCCTTGCCCAGGCCTTGGCACAGGTTTCCCTCAGCTTAGAATGCTAGGTCCTGGCTAACTGGCTTCTGGTCTTCATGTTTCCGCCATCACTATCTCCACAGGACGTGAGCAACTTCCAGTGCAATCTTTACCCACATCTGGTGTCAAAACCGTACAACCCCAAACCTACTGCCATCGAGTCATTGCCAACTTGCAGCACAGAGTAGGGCTCCTGAGACCGCAAATCTTTGTGGGAGCAGAGAGCCCCATCTTTCTCACATGGAGCAGTTGATGGGTTCAAACTGCTGACTTTGCAGTTAGTAGTCCAATACCTAACTCACTAGGCCACCAGGGCTCTATGCCTTTCCCTGAGTCCCTGCAGCTAAATATACACTTCCTTGCCGCTGGGCTCTGAGCCCTGGGTCGAGAAGTGGGTTGGGCTCTTACAGGACAGAGGAGACCTGCCCTTGTGTATTTCCGAGGCTATAAATCTTCAAAGAGCAGAAAGCCCCATTTTTTCCCTCCGCAGAGTGTCTGGTGGTTTCAAACTGTGGACCTTGCAGTTAGCAGCCCAAAGCATAACCCAGTACGCCACCAGGGCTCAGTGGGAGAGAAGCCACAGCCTGGGAGCCTCTCTTCCGAGTCTTGGACTGTGCCGGGCGCGTTAGGTCGGTTGGCTCCTGATCTGCCCAGCAAGCTCACTTCAGGCTCACTGTCTGTGCCCTGAATAGCTAGGGCTATTCAGGGCACAGATGGGAACTGGCACTGGTCAGGGGAGGGACAGTGAGGGACAAAACCCTGGAGGAAGTCTCAGCAAGGGGATGGGGTCCTGAGGCCAGGACCGTTCCCACCAGGGTGACCCTTTACTTCTCGGGAACTTCGTTCTTCTACCTGGAAAGTGGGGAAATGGTTGGTTAGCAAACTTCAGGCCATTTCTGTGTCTCCCTGCATGTCCACCAGGGGGCATTAGGAGCAAGTGTCCCCGCATTTTGCAAGGGAGCTTGAGCTTGGCGGGGTGGTGGGAGAGGAAACGGAAGGCAATGGCTAAGCCCAAGTATTTGTTTTCTTTGATTTGACTGATTTGCAATCTGTGTTTCCCGATTACCAGCTCATTCAGAGGCAGATGTCTTTTCTGTTATTTAAACTTCTCCAAGTGAAGGCTGGCAAAATGGCTAAATATTAAATAGCGTTCTTTCTGAGATGAGTTCTACCATAGATGGCTTGGGAAGACCACTGTGCCAACTCATGCCTAGTCCAGTAGGAACAAGCTTCCGGGCAGCCAGGAGCCAGAGAGAATGGCAAGACAGGTAGGTTCTTTTTTTGCTCTTGGGCCCGCCCCCCCCTTGTTGCTCTGAGTTGGGTCCTGCAATTAGACATTCCCAAAGGGAAGAGTATTTTAGTATTTTTATCCATTCATGTCAAAATCATATGCATGCAAAAATTAGCAGCCTTCAGGGTGTGAAATCTATAAAATAGCAACACAATTTTATATATAGTCAGTTAGCAAATATGAAAAAAAAAGGCCTTAGCAATTATAGTCATCCATATGCTCATTGTAAAATTTAGTTTACTCTCTAGTGCTCCCCTTTAAACAAACACTGTGGAGAGATTTGGATAAATAAAGATGCTCGACATTTGGAGAGAAGCGTTTTCAGCTGCAGGATTTCTTGCCAGCACACAGCCAAATGCCATTTTCCAAGGCTGGGATTGTGTGTTCCAAGAAGAGGGCTGAGCAAAGTAAGGCTTTCCGCTCCAGAGCTCTGAGCCTCAGTGGCTGCTCTTTTAGGCTGAAACTTGGCTGGCTGGCTGGCTCTTCCTCCCCGCAGCCCCTCACTCCCAATGCCCCAGGGCGCCGTGAAGGCGGTCGCACTACCCCCTGCCACTCAGAGCGACTCTGCACAATTCCACGTCGTGCTGTAAGCCCATATGTTCAAACCTCAGTTTCCTAATAGTGTGACTTTCTCATGGCGTGTCTGATAAAAACAGATCCATGGCGTCCCGCCACACACAAGGCAGATGGGAGACCAGTGGGGTAGCTAACAGCTTCCATCTCTGGCGAGAAGCCCTCAGCCAGGTGTCACCAGTGGGGGCAGAGCTCTCAGCAAAGGCCCGGGGTAGGTGAGTGGGTGGGGACCATGGGCCCAGTTCTCGCTATGGCTTCTGGTAAACTTATGGTGGCATTTGCTTCCAGCATCGTCGCAACACCCAAGCCACTCCTGTATGACAAACCGACAGACAGATGGGTGGGTGGTGGTCCAAAGAACAGAGGAGCCAGTCCTGGAAGAAATACTAACAGAAGAAGGGCAAGACTGGCCTACTGGTTTGGGACACGTCATCAAGCAGGCTAAGAAGGCTGGTAAGGTAGAGTGGAGCTAGGTGACACAACCCCCACAAAATGGCCTCAAACACAGCAGCGGACCAGGAGTGGGGCTCAGCACTGGGCAATGCCCCCTTCTCTACCCCATAAAGTTATGTGTTGCAGTCAACCAGACAGCACCCACCACCACCACCACCACCACCTCCGAAAGGCCTGGGGGCCTGTCTCGTTCATCCCTGGCTGCTGCTGACTCACCGGGTCCTTGAGCCGCCTCCTCTCTTCTTAGCTTTCTCCACTCTTGCCCAAAGTAGGCCCATTTCTTCAGCTCTGATGACACCTCTGAGTACCAACAACTTTTGATTACGACTCGGGTAATCAATGGAGTCAATTCGTTTTCCATCCGGCCGTTCATATGCAGTACTCTTCCCCCTTCCTCTCCGCTCCTCATTTCCGTCTGGTCTTCTGCCAGCCCTCGGAGGTTTCACCCAGGCCCAGTGCTGCCCTTTCAATCACGCACTGGTGGCTGATTGTTTTCAGGAGGGCGACCTGCCCGGGTGCTACTGAGCACTGGGGATTCCTCTTTTCCTCGTCTTTAGCCAAGGAGCACCAGGCTCCCAGGTTTGCAGCATTCCAATGGCCTTGGGGGTGGAAGATTTCCGAGGAGGAGCTGGTGCTGGGGAAAGGCTGGTGAGCAGGTAAGTCGCAACATGAAATGGGGCCTTGTAAGGAGCCATCTGATCCACCCCCTTGCAGGCAGTGCAGACCCAAGGGCAGTTTGCATATGGCTTTGTGTACAGGAAGGACCAGACCCCCAGGAAGTCGGTCCAGGAGACTGTCAGTCTCTCTGCCTCTGCAGTTTTCTTGTGAAGCCAGCTCCCAGCCTCTCGGCCCCTTCCCATCAGGCCTGCAGGTGTGAGACGCCCGCCACCACCTCCCAGTGCGGTGCCAGCACTGCCCCAGGATCCTCTGGGCCCAGGCCCAAGGGCGGCTGAGCCTGAGTTAGCAGGACTGGAGCTGCTTCCAAAATAAATGATCATCCTCCAACTAGCAGTCTCCAAACACATTTTCCAGTTGGGAAAATACACCCCTGCTTTGCAAGGAGCATGACTCCTCTCGCCCAGACTTCCCTTACTTTGGGCTCAAGCCGCCACCCCGGTGAATGTATGAGACCTTGTTCTAGCTCTGGGTTTCTTCCTCATCCCGTGGGCCGCCACGAGGCACAGGCCACCCGGTGGCTCTCCTGCTTGGTTGTGGGGGCCTCTGAAGCTAGTCCAAGTGGAAAGAAAGCTCAATGCAGTCCCTGCAGTCGCCTCCCCAGGGCCTGTGGGCTGAGGGCAGATTCAGGAGGAGTAGGATGCTTTGTTGCAAATCTGGGCCAGGCTTCCAGTCCTGTAAAGGCTGGGCTCACCCTGCCTTTTCTAAATTCTTTCGAGGCATTGAAAGTGTCCCGTCATCTTAAAGGAATGGCACTTAAGTTCCTAGAATCCATGCTTGCTGATCACAAGACGTCAGGCATCGTCAGGACTTCCCCAGATGGGTTAAGATGGTAGAGCCCGGCTGGAGGGAAGCCTTGTGCTGCACTGCCTCACTCTCTGTGGGATCTCCGAGGCGGGGCTGGTCCTAAGTCTACTCCCTTGTGCATTCGCTATCATGCCTGTCCCTGCAGACATCAGGCCACCTTCTGCCTGTGCTACGATCCTTATTGTTTCGTCGTACCCCCAAACCATATCAACTTCTTCCAGCCGGGAGATTCCCACTCATGGTGATCCTGTGTAGGATATCTGAGGCTACACACCTTGATGGGGTCAGACAGCTGCATCTTTGGTCTGTCAGATGCTTACCCCACAGTGCTACGGCTCTGAAACCAGACCGGTTGCCATCAAGTCGATCCCAACTCAGCCTATCGGACCAAGCAGACCCAACCCTTGGGGTTTTCAAGGCCGTACCTTTCTCCGGAAGTGTGGCTGGTGGGTTTGAAACACCACTTTTCAGTTTTGTGCTTAACCACTGCACCATCACCCCTAGTATCTTCAGGTAGGCTTCCCTGCAAGCCTCCAGAGTGGACCAGGTTGTGTGTGCCGAGTAGAGGAGCCGTGCACAGAGGAGGTATTTCTGGCTGATTTGTAAGCGCTCCTATCTTTCTAGGGCAATTCTTCATCCGGTCCCGACTGGTGGCTAGAGGGGCTGTCCCTGAAGAAGTAGGCTGCCTCCTTGAGATGGTGGCAGGGCTATGAGAGTGAGCTCTGGGCCTGGGATCCAGCAGTTCATCTGCAAGGGCAGGGGATGTACCCGGATCCCTAGGCAAAGGCTTAGGAGGCACAACCCCTTGGGGCTGAGATGCAATGCAGGTTCCTCCCCTCCACGAGGGCTGCCGGGCCGAGCCCTGACGCACTTTCTATGCCGTGTCCCAGGCTGGGTGGTGAAGGCAGATCACTTGCTGTGGCTCCTCTCACCCGTTCCTGGGTGGGAGCATGCAAACACGGCGTAGAGGACTCTGCCTCGGGGATGGGTCAGTTTTGCTACTCTGCTGAGTATAAAGCAAGCCGCCCCAGAAGCAGCAACAGAGGAATCCCACAAGCACCGAGAAAGAGCCGACAGCGGAGTGTGTGCATGTTCCCTGACGGCAGTGGCCGGGGGTCAGCAGAGGAGTGGAGCTGCAGCGCTGTGACCGTGAGACGGAGCTGAAGAGCAGAGCCAAGACCACGAGGCAGGTGGTGCGATTCTTGGCCAGGAAAGGAGTAAAGGTGCATGTTTTCAGGCAGGAGGCTGGCTTAGAGTGGTGGCAAGCCATAGAGGAGCTTGGTCACAGGATAGCGTCCGAGGGGCCACGTGGCTGAGAAAGACTGAGGACCAGGGACAGAGCAGGCTCCTGGCTGAGACGAGGCAGTGCTGTGGACAAAAGGGCTGTATCCTTCATGTCTTCCGATCCTGACGTCCGGTGACCCATTCATTTCCCTAATGCATGCCCACAATCACGAGCATTGTCTGTGAGGTCCGTGTGGCCACTGTGACCAATGATGGAACCCAGGAGGGCAGGAGGCATGGCTGAGCTCTGCTTTGCCGCAGTCGGCCTGGGACCGGTGGCAGGCGGTGTTGTGCTTCCTGCCGAAGCTTGCGCACGTTCGACCTGGCCGCCATGCCATTGACTCAGTCGTGTCTAGGAGTGGGTGCTGCCAAGTGCACCCTCATTTCTTTGCAATCAGCCTGGCAGAGCCCCGCTCTCCATGCCTGGCTGTGGTTAGAGATGCTGGGGCTCATTAGTGTCTTCCTGGGGCAGGGTCTGTGAGGCTACGGCGAGAGACTAATTAAAAAAAAAAAAGCCCCAAGGGTTCCAGCGCTCGGACTTCAGTGTGCCATGCCCCCGACTCAGAGGTTTCCAGGTAGCTACCAAGAACATGGAAAACAAACCGCTCCAAGCGGTCCCCCTGGGGCAGGGGGGGAAGGCTGGAGTAGCCCTCTCTTCAAACCCGTCTGTGCTACTTGACTCTGACTGTGGCAACATGAGGCTGTGGGTGATCTTGGGCTTATGGCAGCCCCGCAGGGGCAGGCCGCCCAGCGCCGCTGGAAAACCGCAGCAGCAGGAGACAGGCAGGTGGAGAATCAGCATCGAGACACCCAAACGGTCCTTCCATAGGTCTCGGAGGTGGGCCCTGCTCTTGGTGACTGGGCTGTTCGGCCCGCTCTTCCCAATCCAGAGAGGGACAAAGGACAGGAGTGAGGATTTGGGAAACAACTGCGGTTGGAGGCTCGGTGGAAGCTTTCTCTCAGGAGGTGAACAGTCTGTTTCTCCTGGGGTGTCATCATGTCTTTCCCAGGTTCTCCCCTCTATTGGGAATGAATGACGCCTAATTCTGTGGAAAAAAAATTCAGGACTGGCCTATACGGTCCAGAGGACAGGCCTCCACAACTCCCAACGGTATCAACTATCCCTTTCCAGGAAGGACAAGAGCCATGAGCTTCAGCGGACAACGGGGCTCCAAGACTACCCTGAGCAAAGAGGAGGCATGGTAGAGGCCAAGGAGTCCTGGTAACTGGCATCGGGACCAAGTGGGTGTTCTTTCTGCCCTCCAGTCCTCGTTCAAAATCTGCCAAAGATCCCTTGCTGACAGCGACCTGAGTCCAAGCTCCCCAGCTCCAGATCCAGGTCCCCCACCATCTGCCACAATCTGACAGCAGCCTGGTCGGCTTGCTCTCTGGGTCTTCAGCCAGACTCGCCAGCCCAGCCACCGCTTTCTGGACACTCCCAGGATGCCTGGCCTTTCGGTCTTGCTCCTGGGGTCCCTTCTGACCCTTGGGGCTCCATCCCCGGAAGCTTCCTTGTTCAGTGACATCCCCTTTCTTGCCTTGGGGGGTTATTTTCCTGTGTGTAGGGTCCTCTAGACAGGTGGAGTAGTTAACAGCTCAGTTCTCTCTCGGAGCCTAGTCCACCCTGTGGACACAGGGCCCAGGGATTGAAGAGGCCTGGTGGAAGGTGAGGTAGTGGGCAGCCGTGTGGAGACCCGAGCTGCTTACACGTTTGCTGACTCGGCTTTCCTCCTGCAGTTGGCGTCAACGTGTGTGTCTTGGGAGATGGAGGAGGACTTTGTGGGTTAATATTGGACTCGTGGGCTTGGGCAGCACTGGGTTGGGATGTTTTCTTGATGCGCACTTAACCTTTATATAAAACTCTCTCTTATGCATGAGTTTTTCTGTGGGTTTGTTTCTCTAATGTACCCAGACACATCCAGAAGGTGAAACTCGCTGTGTGTGTGTGCCAGTGAACGAGCAGGCAGACAAACAAACCCCAGTGGACGTAGAGTGAATTCAATTGAGGTGACCCTGTGAGGTCAGAGTAGATCCGTGCTTCACGGGGTTGTAAATAGCGGATTCTTTGAAGTCTACCTCTACCTCCTCTTGAGACGCTTCTCGGTGGATTTGAACCTTCAATCTTTAGGCTAGCAGTGGACAGCTTAACAGTTGGCACCACCCAGGGACTCTTGAAGTGGGCCAAGGTGCTGTTTAATCAGGTCAAGGGAAGATGGCTGGTCCCCCAATCAGCTTGTCCTTAGCCTCTCAGTCTCTCTCTCTCTCTCTCACACACACACACACACACACACACACACAACCCCTCTCCTTCCCTCCCCCCGCTCAAAACACCCTCCAGCGAGATCTCTCCTTTCATCACTCTAGAAATAGGAATTGTCTCAAAAATATCCCCCATCTGATTGCAACCGAATCTGGGGCTACACAGGCTGGCTCCTAGCCAACCAGCCATGATTCCTGCTGGCAAGGCAGTTTTAAAAAGGAAAGGCTTCCGGGAGCCCCGGAGAACATGGGGTTACAGTCGAGGCTAAGCACTTTCCCGCTGTGTTCACCGGGGCATCTCGTTGGCCGTCATCCTGGCCCCCCCTGCCCTGGGGAGGAAGGGAGACTCTGGACACAGGCCCTACCTGGCTGCTGGAACATCAGCATGTTCTGTGGAGAAGTGTGCACGGGCAGAGAGCGGGTCCTTTGGACTGAGCTGTGGGTCCGGCTGGGCATGCTGTTGCTGCCCCCGGGGTTGGCAAACCAGAGGTTCTGGTGAGAAAGGCAAAAGGGTACCCTGTTAGCCAAGACGCCCCGGGCCAGCACTACCATATGCATACTTATAGAGAGAGGGTTCGCATGCCCCTTTGCTCCCCCTCCAGCCTCCAGGACACTCTCTGAACCTAGCTTTGTCCCGGGCCTCTCTCTCACGTCTTCAAAACCTTCTCTCTCCCTTTTGTCCCTCTGCTTTCCTATCACTTTCCTGGGAAATGGGGTGGGGTGGAGTTCTGTAAATGCTTGCGGCAGAAAGCACACACTCTTTCAAGGCTCTCATTGGACTTTGAGATTCTAGGCATTTACTCCAAAGGGAGCGTGGCAAAGGGACTGCTTTGCTCTCAGCTAGCGGCAGGCTAGCAGGACTGGCCGGGGGGTCACTGTCACACGGGTGTCATAGTGGTGGTTTTTCCCGAGAAGCACCCTGGGGTGTTGGGACAGTGTAAGCCAAGTGGGACTTTCCAGTCAGCCCCCACCCCCGCCCCCACCCCCCCACCCCGGGGACAAGTAGAGCCCCCTGGGCTTGCCCAGAGCCACTCTCCTGTGTTAACACGGAAGCCTCCTCCCTTTTCTGTGAGAACTTCAGGCACATTTGTGTCCCTTACAAAGCTGGGACCAAGCAGGTAGAAAGAACATTGCGGGGCAGGGGAGGTCCAGGGGTGAGGAGCCCAGGACAGGGCTGCAAGCCTTAACTGGCAGTTTCACCCCCTTAGCCCCCAACACAGCCTCCATCAGGCTCAGCCCTATTGGCCCCTCCACCAGGGAAAGGGTGGGGGCGCTGTGAGGGGGAGAGTTATTTTATCACAGAGAAGGCGGCAAAGGAAGGAGTCCCCTCCTCTACAATGGTCCAGGTTCTCTGGAAACCAGAGAAACCAAGTCTGTTGGGGCAGGTCAGGGATCAAGGCACAAAAGACTTAAGTTGCTCACAGCCATCTGCCAACCTTGCAATTAGCAGGTCAGCATGTAAGCCACTATGCCACCAGGGCTCCTTTACAAAGGAGGTCGGTCTTGCCCTTTTTCTGAAAGGGCCTCTGTGGGAGAGTGGTCCCTAAGGAAATCTCCCTGAGGTCAGGAGGGTGTCCTTGTGGGGCTGCAGGCAGGCATCCCTGGGGGCCTCTGAGGCCGATGGACAACTGTCTCTCAGTTTACACTACTTGGGAATGCCCCCGGCCCCCTTCTCCCCCCTCTCATCTGAGTCGCAGAGGTCCTGAGCTTGGCTGGCCCTCCTCCCTGGGGCTGAACAAACCTGTCTTCCTTGTTTCATGATGGTGGGGTTGGCAGGGGTGTTGCGCTGGCTGGAGCTGACGAATCCACTGGTGCCCAAGAGTCCAAGCCGGGCGGAAGGGATATTCCGTGAGGGGATCTGGTACTGGCGTGGGTTCCGTCTGCCCATGCCGCTGCCCACCGAGCCGGCAGTTGGGAGGGAATTGGACTGTCCAAAGCCACGACTGCGAGAGGGAACAGAGAGGGAACCGTGAGATGGTTAGCCATGCCTCCACCCCTCCCAAGTCCCAGGCTGCAAGGGGCATGCCTCCTTGGGGCTGCCAGTTATGAGGTCTACGGGGTGAAGGCACTGGGCCAGGAGAGGACCTTGAGGCCAGTGACAGCTGTCATCTGTGAGTGTGTATGTAGCATGTGGGGCTTTATCTCCATTCTCCACCATTCACGCCCTTCACGCTCACTGCCGGAGACGGGAGAGATGGTCACTTGGCTAAGGTCAGGCTGCCGCCAGCAGGGGGCAGCGCTGGAATGGGAGCCTGGACCCTCAGGAGGCTTGTGCTGTCCTCCAATCCTCCAAGCAAGCTGACCAGCTGCTGCAGACAGGACATGGGCCCTGAGCCCAAGAGGCCACAAGGCCAGCAGGCAGCAGAGACAGGTTCAGAACTGGCTCAGGCTCTTGTCACGTGTTCCTGCCATCACATGAAGAAACCCGTATCTGAAGCCTGTCTTGCGTAGCCGACCTGGAGAGAGTGGGCAGTGCTAGCATGTGAGTCCTTCATCAGCCCTGCATGTTGATAAGGCGGACCAGCAAAGGAATGAAAGGCTCTCTCCTATCACCACGCATCCCCAGATGGAAGGGCTGGTCCCATCTCTGGGGCCCTGGCTCCCGAGACGCCAGGATGATCCCAGGCACTCGCAGGCCTTCCTGTGGTACTGGCCACGTGGGTTGCCGAGATCCTCCTGGGTCCACACGCTGACGCCCGCGTTCCCGTTTGGTCCGGTGACCTCAGCACTCAAGAACTCGCTCGGCCTCTTCAGCACATGCTCCAGGTTCTGGGAGGTTACACAGCAGCCAGCAGTGTTTCAGGAACCAGCACATTCTTTCCAAGAAGAGTCAGCTTTAGTCAGTCATTCAGTGATGCGTAACTCCCCACGCTTTTCCCTCCAGTGGCCACAAGATGGAACAGACTGGCGTTCCCAGCCACACAGGGAGGACACTCTGGAGGGGCAGGGCTGACGTAGTGGAGGAAAATAGGGGACTTACGAAACCGTCATTTCCTCAGAAAGAGAGAGAGAGAGAGAGAGAGAGTGTGTGTGTGTGTGTGTCCAAGGTAGCAACAGAGTACACGATCTCAGAAAATGTTTCTCTTCCGTCATGTTTTAGAAGATCTAGGAATGACAGATAGAAATGGCATCATGTTTATAACTTAGCTGAATGTTTCCAGAACAGTTTCTTATAGCACTGCGTGATAGAATGAACTTTACCATGTGAATAGTCAGTTGAAAGTTAGCGCATATTGACTTTTCTACTAAAGATGTTGACTCAAGAAAACAAAGTTTGATTATCTCCTGTGTTTTGCTTTTCAGAACGAGAGACTGAAATAAATCCCTCTGGTTTGGGGGAGGAAAAAAAAATGTTCCTCCTCTCTTAGGAATTTCTAAAATCCCTCATCAGAGTGGGGGAAGGGAGGAGAATAGCCAGTGAGCTGGCTGGGACTGGATCCAGGCGGTGTGCTGCCACTTCCCGCTCTGACAGCCCAGGAAAGGGTCCACGCTTCCAGCGGAGGCTCGCCTAAATGTCCCAGGGCAGCCTGCGCAGGCTCTTGGGCTCTGGCTCTCATCCCTCCTGTCGGGTACCTTGTCCCCCCTTCTTGCCGTCAAGGTCCGAAGCCTCGGAAAGAAGCGTGTCGGCCCCGAGAGGTGGGGTGACGTCTGCTTTGGCGGGAAAGGACCAACTGTGATATGTGACAGGTTCAAGTGGGATTTGTTTTTTTTTTGTTTGTTTGTAACTCTGAAAACCAGCTCTATGGTTCTGGAATTTCCATTTGGGCCACCTGTTCGATGGCTCTGTAGTCTGCTGAAACTTCTCCATATTTAGTGCAGGGAGCTTCTTTACCCACTTTCCTTTTTGGTTGGAGGCCTGAAGAGTTGTTTCACATGTAAAGCACAGCCGGCTCTGAGCGGTGATAAGATGCTGTGTGCTTTCAGAACGGCAAGACTCAATTGGTCAGCGATGCAGTGTGGGCTGGGGCACTTACCCTTCCTGGAGGTGAACTTTCTACTGCAAGGGGGGTGTGTGCTTCTGTGGCATCTTTAGTTGATCACTACAGAGCCTGGGCGAACATTTAGTTACTTATGATTGCCAGGATCAATGAAATAATCATGTTTTCTGGGGAGAAGACACAGTGCACAAGAAAGTGTTCATTTCTCATTCCCTTGCTCTGCCTACCTGTAGTTCGCCGGCTCACCCTGCCTAAAGAGAGCCAACTGATTCCATTGCATTTAAATGCATGGGAAGCCTCTGATAAAATAAAATTCATAAGAGCCAATTAATTGGGGATTGTGATAATTCAAGCAGGAGCCGGGTTGTAGTTACCTTTGTCTTATCAGAGAACCAGAAATTCAAAGCAAATTAATAGCATAAAAAGATCCCAGTGGTAATATTTAGGAGAGAGGAAAAATACTTCCTAGAATTTCAGTAGCATCGAATTGAACATCCACAATTGATGATTGAATTCATTCATATCTAATCAATAAAAACAGGTACATTAGGACTCCTACCTGCCAAACGGGCTAGTCCAGCTGGTACTGAGCTAATGACAGTTTCGTGAGCTCAAGGCCACTGCCCCAGCTTAGCCTGATGTGGTCCAAGGAGCCAGTGTAATGGCAGAGGAAGGGGATGAGACTTTGGGCAGGAAGAGCCAAGAACTTCAAAGTCCTGCCTTTCTCTTCAGTCTCTCCTTCCTCTTGGAACTTGTCTCCCAAGGGTCTAGTGTTCCCAGCAGGGTCTGCAGCCTCCTCCCTGACTTGGGAGATGTGCTGCTGCTCCTGAGCAGCTGCGATGGGAGCAGACCTTTCTTGTCTCCTGTGCTGACCACAGGACTTTAGCACATATGGTCCCGCCCAACCTGCTAGGGCATGAGGCAGGGCTCCGACAGGAGTGTTGCTTTGCCTGAACGGTCTTCTCTCTCATACAACTCTTATCACAATCCACACATACATCAATTGTGTAAAGCACATTTGTACATTCATTGCCCTCATCATTCTCAAAACATTTTCTCTCCACTTAAGCCCCTGGCATCAGCTCCTCATT